TGGGTCCGGGGGGGGGGGGGAGCCCAGCCGTTGCCAGCAGGTCTGCCCGCAGCCCCTGCCTTGCTGCCTGTGGGATTAAACTGCTGGCAGCGCACGGAGGAGGGGCTGGGAGCCAGGGCAGAGCCCTTGCTTCTGTGGTAGCCTGGGATCTGGCAGCTGGGATGAGCCAGCTGACCCCGGCTGCCCCTTCACCCCGGGAGGGAGCACAGGAGCAGAGCCAAGTTCTCCCCCACAGCTGCTGACCTTACGTGGCTCCTCTCTCCCTGCAGCCCAGAGCTGAGCCCTGACTTCTCCGTGCTTTTCTTGGAGATACTTCTGCAGACGAAGGAGTTGGAGCTGGAACAGTTGCCTCCAGGTATGAGGGTGCCCTTTCCTTAGAGCCCCAGGCGCTGGCGTTTGTGCTCTGTGGGTGTGGAGTCTTCGCCCCCACAAGCAGGTTGCCGAGGGTGTTTCTGCCGTTCGGCCGTGCCTGGGTGCGTGCTGGGTGTAGCTCCTGGCAGCGTGGCAGCCAAGCAGGGCTTCCCAGGACAGTCACTGCAAGGAGGGGGTCTCCGTGCCCCAAGGAATTGCCCTTGGCAAGGGTCTGGAGCTGGGACTTGGGCTCACCCTGCCTCAATTCTGCTTCTCTTACAGCCTTGCCTCCAAAACCACCGAAGCCAAAGCCCAGCGCAGCCAGCCTGGCCAACGGGAACAGCGTGCCCTTGCAGGACGCTGAGTGGTACTGGGGTGACATTTCCCGGTAAGGGGGTGGCCCCAGCTCACGTCCTGGGTGCCCCGTTTGTCGGGTCATCTTGGGGAGCCCTGGCAGCACCTCGCAGGGCATGACAATCACTTTCCTCGCAGGGAGGAGGTGAACGAGAAGCTACGGGACACCCCAGACGGTACCTTCCTGGTGCGTGATGCCTCCAGCAAGATCCAGGGGGAATACACCCTCACTCTTAGGTAAGGCCCTGGGGTCCCCCAAGACCCTCTGCTGCGCCGGGGGGGGCACGTGTCCCCTGGTGCTTACAGCCACCTGGATGCCGAGACCTCGGGCTGGTGTAGTGTAAGTGCCCCCTCTCTCCTCCCCGCTGCAGGAAGGGGGGCAATAACAAGCTGATCAAGATCTTTCACCGGGAAGGGAAGTACGGCTTCTCGGAGCCCCTGACTTTCGGCTCCGTGGTGGAGCTCATCACCCACTACCGGCATGAGTCGCTCGCCCAGTACAACGCCAAGCTGGACACCAGGCTACTCTACCCCATCTCCAAGTACCAGCAGGTGAGGCCTGTGCCAGAGGGACACAGCCAGCAAGCACGGCCTGAACCAGGGGCTTTTGCTCATCCATCCCTGGTCCTTGGGTAGATGACAACATCCTACCCCTTCCCCTGTGCCGGGGCGTTGCTCTGCGGGGTGACGGGCATCCTGCAGCGCCGGTGGGGTTTCGTGGGACCGGCTGCCTTGCAGGGCGGGAGCGATTCCTGACCGAGGCCGTGTGTTGGCAGGACCAGGTGGTGAAAGAGGACAGCGTGGAGGCCGTCGGGGAGCAGCTGAAGGTCTATCACCAGCAGTACCAGGACAAGAGCTGGGAGTATGACCTGCTGTACGAGGAATACACGCGCACTTCCCAGGTACGTGGGTGCTGCCATCCCCGCAGGCTGCTCCGATGTCCCCGGGTCGCTGGCAGGTGTCTCGCTGTGCGCAGAGATCGGGCACCCGCTGCTCCGTTCATCTGCTCCTGGGCTCGAGGGGATTTGAAGAGGAGGATGTTTTGGCTGCAGCAAGGACAGTGCTGCTTCGAGGAGCGGGAAAGGAGGGATGCCAACGGGCAGAAGCGTGCCCACGTGCTCCCCCTTCCTCAGCTCTCCCACCCCGCACCCTTTTCAGGAGCTGCAGATGAAGAGGACGGCAATCGAGGCCTTCAACGAAACGATCAAGATCTTTGAGGAGCAGTGTCAGACGCAGGAGAAGTGCAGCAAGGAGTACATCGAGCGCTTCCGCCGGGAGGGCAACGAGAAGGAGGTGCAACGGTGAGTTTGGAGGGGGGTGGGATGACCTGCCCTGCCTGGAGAAGGGCTCTGGGAACTGGAAGGATCGTCCTGGCCCAGCACGGAGCCGAGGCGTGCACAATCCTTGTCTCTCCAGCAGCGTGCTGCGGGCTGGAGCTGGCAGGCTGCCTCCTCTGCCTCCCCCACTCTGGCTCACAGCCTAAACTCCCCCCCTCCTTCCCCTCCCAGGATCCTCATGAACTCGGAGAAACTCAAGTCGCGCATCACGGAGATCCACGACAGCAAGATGAAGCTGGAGCAGGACCTGAAGAAACAAGCCTCGGAGAACCGGGAGATCGACAAGCGCATGAACAGCCTCAAGCCAGACCTCATGCAGCTGCGCAAACTGCGGGACCAGTATTTGGTGTACGTTGGGGCTGCCGCCGCCCAGGGCTGGGAGCGGA